CCGACCCATATACTTTTTGTTCGTTTTCCACCAAGGTTTTCTATGTTTTCTTTTTTCTTTCTTTTTTAAATCCCTTTTTCTAATGTGTGAACATTTTCAAAACGGTGATTTTTTTTCAAAATTGATGTAAAATTTCATTTTTGTGAATTTTTTTCAAGATTGATGATTTTTTTAAAAATTTTGATGAACTTTTTCAGAATCGATGAACTTATTTCAAACAATTTACAACTTTTTAAAAAATGATGAACTTTTAAAAAAATCGTGAACTATTTTCAAAGTTTGAAATATTTTTAATTTGTTGTGAACATTTTTTTGAAAATTGATGAACTTTTTTCAAATTCATTGAACTCTTTTCAAGATTGATGATTTTTTTTCAAATTTGTAAACATGTTTTCAAAATCACTTAAATTTTTTAAAAATCAATAAAAAATCAGATTTGTGAACATTTTTTGGAAATTTTAAAAAAATTATGTGATATTTTCCCAAATTTCTGAACTTTTTTATATTCGTGAACTACTTTTTCAAATTCATGAACTTTTTTTAAGTTCCCGTGAATTTCTTTATTTAAAAAAATGAATTTATGAATTTATTTTTTTCTACGAAAAAACAGAGGATCGGTTCTTTTTCTTCATCTCAGCATGCTCTGCTTTTTCCCTGGTTACTAGCTAGGCGAGCTAGCGCGTCCAGCCGATTGAAGCGCCAAACTAGGCCTCGCCCTGCTATGCTCCCTTGATCTCCCTGATGATGGAGGCAATTCTGGATGACCCATCGGAGATGCTAGTGTAATTGTTCTAAAAAAAGATGCGAGTGTATCTTTGCCAGCCTGCTAAGGGCATTTCCAACCGATCCCCAATAACTGGTTAGGGGAGTAAAATCTCGGTTTTACTCCTCTAACCGGCACCTAGCCGATCCCCAATCGGCCTTAGTGTAGTAAGAATTTTACTCAGCCGCGGCGTTTCTCGCTATATTTATTCCACCGCTCGGTGACCGGGTAAAAAAAAGGATCCTGGTCTTCCTCTCCTCTGCCTCCCCCCCCTCGCCCCGCAACCGACGTGTCCCCCGCTGTTCCCTGCCACTCCCTCTCCTCGCAATCGCTAGAGCCCCCCTTCCCCCCACCGATCCATGCGTGTCGCCATGCCCGCGGTTCGTCCTCGAGCGGTGCATCTTCCAGCCGTCGCCGGTCACTCGATCTGCCCGGTTCGCCGACTTCCCGAAGCTCCGTCAGCCATGGGCACCGCAGAGGACATACCTCGGCGTCCGATAGCGGTTGTGGGGGACATGGGTGGCGGAGGTCACCGACCAGGAGACCCACAAGAGAAAGTGGCTCGGGAGCTTACACACGACGGAGCTCGCGGCGATGGAGTACAACCGGTGGCAAATCCGGTTCCACGGCTCCACCACACGGCTCAACTTCCCATTTGGGACAGTGCTGGTCCACCTCGACCCGCCGGTGCCGGGTGTGGTGAGCGCGTCGATGGCGCGGGAGGACCGAGAGGCTTGGGACCGCCTCAAGTCGGAGGCCGCCGCCGAGGCATACATGGAGGACTTCCGCCGCCAGCACTCGAGCTCGTGTAGGCGGAGCAGGCAATATTCGCAAACAATGGCGGCGAGGTCATCATCATCTGCGACGACGAGGAGCAAGGCGGCAAGGAGGGTGAGGAGTAGGAGGAGTTCGACGTCAGGGAGTGGTGGAGCATTTTCCCCGACTACAACGACGCTGGCACCGGCCCGAACCCATGTCTCACTGGCGATGGCCTGTCGAGGAAGGATTGACTCGATATGCACTATGGCCGCTGAGTAGTGTTTAAGTTTAATGTTTAATGCTTTATGCTTAATGTAGTTTAAGTTTAGTAAGTTTGAATTTATGTTTGATGTTCGGTTGTCAACATTGTGTTGAACTTATGTTTAAATTTATGCAAATTTCTGTTCCAACTAGATTGAGTTTGTGCAAATTTGAATTTTACTTCGTTATGTTTGGGGAATCGGCTAGATCCGACCAAAACTTAGTGGAGTATAAATACTTCACTAATGTTTACTAGGCTGGATACTCCTCTGTTTTATAGGGGATCGGTTAGAAATGCCCTAAAGGTGTGCTGCCAGTGATGACCCGTTCTGTACAAGCGGAGGCTGTTTTGGGCAAGCGAGCAGTCTTTTGTTTCCGTGCCATGGCTTATTTTGGTTATTGTCATTGTATGTCCCGAAAAAAAATGTTATTGTCATTGTAACACTGTAGAATGAGGCAAAGGATTTGCCTCCACTTTGAAAATTTCCCACTAAGGATGGTTTGAGAACAGGTGCACCTGTCAAAAAATTGGCTGGCTTTAGGTGCCCCTGAATGTGATGCGTGGGTAGCTAAATAATACTCCGAGGAAGTGCCATTGGCACTAACCGACAGGTCGTTGGCTTAATGAAATGGAGCAATTGCTCTTTGCCGCCCTTTACCATTTCTCTCTATTATCACATATGAACACGTCTATTTGCTGGTAAGAAAGGACACACTGGGCAGTGGCCCGTCGGTGAGGGTGACTAGGGTTTCTCTATACTTTGTCTTAAAGGTGGCATAATACTGTAAATGATATTGATCTAATTCATTATTCATGGGTCAAGGAAAGGGTGGAAGCTCTGTTTCCAGGTCTGATCAAATGCTCTGAAGATAGACACTGAACTAGACATACAGGTGTACTACCACTAAAAAGTAAAAACCCTGAATACCTTTTAACTCTACACTCAACTCTTCACCGAATGTTTTATGTTTCCTTGGCTTTGTCAATAAAATGAAAGACTAGTTACGCTCGACCTTTCCGCTGTTCTTATTACCAGTTAACAAACCTTATCATGGCCGGGCATGCAGTCCACCAAACCTGCTTTTTCTCTGGGTTGTGACACTTGTAGTTTCAGTCCTTCAAGGCAGTGCGCGTGGCCTTGTTGTGCTAGTAATTGAGTTGCTTTCAGTGCGTGCGTCGACTAAACTTGACAACCCTCTGCACTTTCAGTTCTCCTTTTTTTTCGTAGTGCGTGGACCATTAATTTATGCTCCATCATCATCATGTCTCCCATGAACGCAATGTGATGTGCCCATGAGGAAAAGGCACATATCTTCAGGCAACCTTCATTGCATGCTTGTACTGCACCAGCCATGGCCATTTGGCCCATGTCTCCACTCTCTTGATCGAAAGACTATAAATACCACTGATCTCACCCCCAAACACCCACACCATCCAAACCCATCTTCGCACAAGACACTAGCTCACTACTCACTACCAGTCGATCTACATTTCATCGTCAGAGTTTCAGAGATGCCATGAAGTACTTGGCCCAGCTGCTGGTGGCGCTCCTGGCCTTCTGGGCGGTGGTGCTGATGATGGCACCGGCGGGCGCGGAGGCCGCGACGTGCGACGCGCTGCAGCTGAGCCCGTGCGCGGGCGCGATCGTCGGGAACGCGGCGCCGACGGCGGTGTGCTGCAGCAGGATGAAGGCGCAGAGGCCGTGCATGTGCCAGTACGCGCGCGACCCCAACCTGAAGCAGTACGTCAACACCCCCAACGGCAAGAAGGTCCTGGCCGCCTGCAAGGTGCCCGTGCCATCCTGCTAGATCGACGTCTATGATCGAGACGAGAACGAGAGCCCAGCCAGTGGCATCTCTCTGCACCGCTGCATGTGCTGCATGTGTTGATGTGTGAGTGTTTGGTTGTCGTGAGTAGCAACCCCGATGTATCTGTATCTGAAATTCTGAATAAATGCAGTGCTTGCGTGAGCTCCACTAGGTAAGAGATTGGCGTTGATGGGAGAAAGAACTGTTCGTTCAAACGGCCGGTCATCATATGTGGCATATGTTTTTCTCGAACGGGCATGTGATGAGCTCATTTTTTTAAGATAAATATAAAAGGATAAGCGCGGCCTCTGCATCATTACGATGCATATAACTACATTTATTAAAACATAAGTATCATCATTCAGTACACAACAAAAGTAGATACTACCACAAACGACGAAAAATTAGAAAATATATCTACACGCATATTCCATAATCGAACCACACTACCTTATCACCTCCGTTTTTGCCAAATTACCCTTCATTAGGATAACCCTCCATATGCATGAACCACACTAAAATGTTATCTTAAATGACACTTTGTTTTTTCAAGTATATCTCAAAAAAAAATACAAATCTCATATTTATGAGGTCCGTATACATCGATTTAACTAAGAAAAACCCTAGAAAAGGTCAGCCGCCAATGGAAAGAATCTTGTTCGCTAGTTAAACTACCCATCATCAACCTACACTAAATTTACCGGGCAAAAAAAAACCTAGGCACTAAATCGAGCCAAGCAGCTCGTGTGAACTGGATATTCAAGGGAATAGTCCCCAATATTGTACCCACAAAAATCTCCTTCCATTGCACGCTATTATAAAATGATGTGTACTATAAAGTCAGAGGTGTATATTTTAGTCAAGTATCCTCCCAAAATGTGTGCTACGACCGTCTCCAACTTGAAAAATGCTATACTGAAGAACCCACTCTTTGTCCTCATTAACCCCTTTCAGAAGCGCGAGTAATTTGGCCGAATCGTAACTTGAGACAAAGATTTGAAGTGAAGATACTTGTTACGCAATAACTAAATCCTCACACCCTCATCCGAAGCAAACCTATGCAACCATTGGCTGAGGAGGCATTTGTTCTTAATTTTGTGGTCTTTAATACCCAAACCCTAAATGCTAAACCCTAACTCCACTCCTCCTACAACTGGCCCCTCGTTTCCCTTTCTTCTCTGCTTGCATATTCTCCGCTTAACTCCTCTTGTTTTCTGGTACTTGAGGGCCCTACATTTCTTCTCTTTCTTCCTTTGCGAGAGCGCTTTTTTACGTAGAATGCTATGATATTTCATTGATTCTATAATTGTGCATTCCTTTCTACTCAGATCGTGTATCAATTTCTCCCTGTAAATTCTGTTCATTTCCTTATTTGCTTTTTTATTTGAAGCAAATGTCTCCATCAAATCTCTGTGATTCTCATTCTTCTACATGGATCCCAATAAGACCCTTGGTGACACTAAGAAGGCTAAGGTAACTTTTTTTTTATCATTTGTGCTAGTTTGTACCATATAGGGCATGTATGATTCATAGGAAAAGAAAAGGAAAATCATAGGAATAGGAAATTTACTATGGTGAAAATTCATTTGTTTGATTCAAATGAATGGACCATAAAAAATTACATGAATGATTCCTTTGGATTGAGTTTCATAATAAAATCTAAGAAATTTAACAATCGACCGCAACCTCTGCTTTACATTCTCATGCACAACGAACGAGACAAAGGACATAAGTAATGTAATGTCAGCTACATCTTATGTTTGCATATAGTTTAACCTCAATTTGACCATGTATTCTAGGATACCTACATTTTTCCTATTCATGTGAATCAAACAACCACTTCTAAACATTCATGTGTTTTCACAATCATCTGTTTTGCACATTTCAACCAGGAAAGAAAGCCAGGAGGATGGACTAATGATTGACCATCTAGAAGTAAGCGCCGTCAGAATTTAGACAGTGAGGTAAATTTATGTTCTGGCCTCTCCTTTCTCTTATGTTTGCTCTAGGGCATGGCCTTTGAGCTATGGCCCTACTATGCTCTGCTCCAGCCATCGAGCCAATGATCTAGTGCTTGTGTTTGCTATGGGGCGTATTTGATAATTCTCATGTGGATATCGTAGTTGGTAATTGGTTATTTGATTACTAGGATTCCCTATTGAATGTGTTTGCTATGAGCCAATGATCTGTTTTTTTTTTTTTTTGAGAACTGAAGCAGGAGACTCCTACTCAGTGAGGCCAGAACATTCAGCAATCATCAAAGTGCGTAGGCTAATCGGAACATTAGCTATCATCTCCTGATCGCCTGAGCTCCTTGTAAGTGCAGCAAGGCCATGGGCCAGGGAGTTGCATTGTCTCTTTACGCAGCTGACCTTGCAAGCGTCAAAGCCATCCATGGCATGCCTAATGTCCATGATTAGGGTGTAATTAGGTGACCTTGTCTGTCCTTGGGATCTCAGTTCATTTGCAATGTTCTGATTATCCATTTCAAGGATTATCTGGCCCTTGTACACTCCAGCCACTGCCTGCAGTCCAACAAGGGCGGCACGAGCCTCAGCCTCCTCAGCACTCTGACAGCTGGGAAGTTTTTTGCAGACGGACATGAGGACAAGGCCTTGGGAATCCCGTCCGACCACTCCCGCCGCACTTTCTCCAGTTCCCGCAAGGAATGCAGCGTCAGTATTGATTTTGATAGTTCCTTGATTTGGTGGCTTCCACTGGTTGGCAAAAATTTCAGTGTTTTGCTCTCTGATTTCCCTCCCAACTTCCTTGTCTTTGCTTCCAGGCCCCACCTCGGGCCCCGCTGCACCTCTTAATTCCTCATCGTAATTCTGCAAGAACTGCACGGAGCTACCAATCGACTCCCTCCCGTTATTCCGAAGGGCGTCTTCTCTCAGGTGCCAGCTCCGCCATAGGAGCAGCAGGATTTTGGCTCGCCCTTCCTTGCTTTCCGTGTCCAGCAGATTCTGTTGGTAACTACACATACAAATTTAGTGCTGGGCATTTGTCATTTGCAGATCTTGTAATGGTATGTACTGATTTGGGGATTAATCCAATTTTGATTCTATACTTGATCTTAAGTGCAATCATATTATGCACACACCCAAAAACAAAGACACTTCTCTCTTATTGTCATGTTTGAGTAGGTTGGACTCGATGAATTTTTTTCGTCGAAATTCCCAGCAAGCACACCATAAGTTTTTTTTTTTTGATTGAATGGTATGAAGGGAACAATGTTTATAAGAAAATTTCTAAAATTTTCAATTATGTGCAATTCCTTGACCTAAAATCACTCAAAATGTGATGGTTTAATTGTGGAAATGATGACCCATGCTCACACTAGCCATACAGTCTCAAGCCCTCGACCCTCCATGAACGAGGAGGTTCGATCGATCTCTTCCTTAATCTACGTGTAACTCAGCTGCGCACACAAAACCGAGACTTTCCTTGAACGTTTCGGCACGCTCATGATGGATTCCACACTTCCACCGACCCACTGAGATCATCAGGCTGCCATGTTCACATAGTAAAAAAGCGCAACACGTCACCCCGGCCCGTACCGTCCGACGCGCCACGCGCCGTCTGGATCGGCCACTAGTGGAGCTCTGTGCCCACGCGCATGTCGGTAGCTAGTGCACCCATGCTTGATGCTTCCGCGTTGTACACTCTGTCGCGCGCCACACCTACTACTACGTGCTGCATGCGGCCTATAAAACGCACCGTCGACCGCGCCCATTCTCCACAACCCAGAGGCATCAGCCAGCTCCTCACGAACGCACGGTCGCAGAGACACCGCACGAGAGCAGCTCCACCACTTCCCTCCCACACGAGCCCAAGAAGCAACCATGGCGGCGGCGAAGGCCACCCTCGTCTGCTTCATGGTCATGGCTCTCGCGACGGCGCTGCTGGCAGTGCCGGGCGCGGTGGAGGGGGCAACGTGCAGCCCGACGCAGCTGACCCCATGCGCGCCGGCGATCATTGGGAACGCGGCGCCGAGCGCGGCGTGCTGCGGGAAGCTGAAGGCGCACCCGGCGAGCTGCCTGTGCAAGTACAAGAAGGACCCCAACCTGCAGCGCTACGTCAACTCCTCCAACGGCAAGAAGGTCTTCGCCGCGTGCAAGCTGCGCCTGCCAAGGTGCTGAACTAGCTATTGGTGCCACGAGCTTCGTCCATGTCCCTCGCGCGTTGCACGTACACTACGTACGCTGGAGTACCGAGAGTGTGTGAGGTATAATAATAAAACGAGGCGAGTGCTATATACTTTATATATTAAACAGAAATAAATTGACAGCGCTGTACTACTTTGGTACGGTGCCCGTTATGTCCATGTGCATGTATACTCATGTCCTGTGTATGCCAGCATATACATGTCAGAGTAATAAACATAAATTTTTGTTCTGTTCCCTGCTTCGCTCCGAAAAGGAAGAAAATGTTTTTTGTTTGAAATGGAGAAGAAAATACTAGTTAGTAGTTAGAATATATGAGAATAATACCCCTCCACATTCTTATGATATATCAATGGTAGCAACTTGTGGCTACATGTTATAGCGTCTCACCTTCTAGGTTCGATAAAATGATTTGTGGCTAAAAAATTAAAAATAATAATGAGGATGACTTACATGTGCTTGATGATGTGAAGGATTTACATGTGTTGAGAAATGAAATGTGGAGTGCTTGTATCTGCTTAATATTATGGAGGACTTACATGTGCAAGAAAAATATGTAGTGGGCTTCTACTTTTTGAAACAGAGAGGATGCATGCTTGCTTCATACATGTACTTTAGCAAAAGGGCGAGCCACAGAAAAACAACAATGAAATGGTCGGAAGGAAATGACGAGTCTATAAAACAGTGATACCAACTGTTAAGAACCTTGTTTAGTTTCTTGATCAAATTGTGAATTTGATCGCGGACACGAATTACATGGGAAATGTATAGCGTCTCGGGGTAGAAGTAGGGGGCAATTGTTGTGGACGAAGCTCTTGTCGATCAGGTCGGCCT